TTCTCTAAACATGGCTCCGTTTCATAACAGTTACTTCAACCTTGCTGATTTTCACCTGTAAAACTTTACTTTTACAACACTACAGAGAAATAGATACTGTTGCTATGAGCGCCCACATTCAGCTCCCCAGCCTCAGACTGTTTTGCTGAGCTAGAGTTACACTATCTGTTACACTGCACCTCAAGTGATGATGACATGGCCAAAGCCAACACTGCTGTGTACAAGGAACAACAGCTGATCACACAACGTCTGACAAACACCAAGTCTGTTTTATCTTGATGGGAGAGTAATAAACCAGGCGACAACATCCCTGAAGAAATACTTACTGACCTTATTCAACCAAATAGATATTGTCAGACCAAAATGATGAATCCACATAAACTATAGCTTCTTAATTACTGTCATCAAATTCAGTGTTACCAATATCAGTTTTATTTCAGCAGGTTTATCCATCAGACAGAAATAATCCTATGGTGTGAAGTACACAGATTTTAAACTCATGATTATATGTGTACTTGCTATCAGCAGATACCCAAGCTCAGATATCAGAAACGGTATCAGGAGGAGGAGAACAAGTTCAATCAGTTCATCCCAATTCTAAATAAAACCCCAAAGTTCAGCTTCCACTATGTGCTTTGTGTTGGCATGCTTAACACACAGCTTTGGAAAGAGTAGAAAGACGTGGAAGTACAGTGCTGGAATATATAATGAACAACCCAACACCTTAACCTTTGAGAACAGACACATGATTGTTAAGTATGGAACTATACAGAACCCTTCCAGTACAAGTACACCCTGTGTTACTCAGAGATGCAGGAAAAAGGGAAAATGACTAGGGAGAGTGTAGGAATGCCACTGAGCAGGTTCAGTAATTGGGATTCATCCCCCTCAGCAGAAAAGCACCTCGGGTGGTCAAACTGATTTGACTGTGTAATCATACTCATATTATTTGTGGACTTTGAGATTGATATTATTCCTCGGAACACAGCACCAGATACAATAAATCACATATAACACACTTAGCGTGTAGCCTCTACTTAGGAAGTAACATTAATGCAAAGACAATATACAACCACTGTTTTTATCATATAGAATATAAAGTAGCTAATAGCACTGTATTTCACTACTTAATTGATACTTCTAACTTCGTAGTAGCGGCCACTGCCTCCGCTAATAGCATGTTATTACAGCTCACAGCGGAAGTTAGCCAACAAGTCAATTTCCACACACATTACTCAACCTATCAGGAAAAGCAACGAAACGCACCCCATAAAGCTAGGGTGGATACCTTTAGAAACAAATTACTCTGTTGCAATACTTTTACTGTGCCAAGTGTAATGATACGCAGCTAATGTTAGCTAAGCTAACTGGTTAACGTTAATCGCCCACCAAACTCTAGTGTTAGTGTTAAGAACATTACGCATATTCGACATACAAACAACATCCGACGTTAGCATCACACTTACCACTCTGTTCCCCCAGAAAGACCAGTTTAAACTTTCTTAAAGGGTTTCCAAAGTCCCCGGCCGAAGACATGACTGAAAACTGACGATACTTCTCTCCACAGCTAGCCAGTAGCTAATGCTAGCTAATCAGATATCAACGATAATCAAGATGCCGGGTTGTCAACCCTCTACACAGGCCACCTGGTGATGTGTCGTGCTCCAAAATTCTTACTTTCAGCTTTCAGGAACTTTTTGATAACTCACTAACTACTGCGGCCAAGTTACCATTCCTGTCAGTTGTCTGACATGTCTGGACTCTGGAGCAGCTACCCACCCTGGGCTACTTTCTTCTTCTTCATACACAAAGTTGACTGTGTTCGGGATGTCAACCTTATTGTTCTGCTGCCCTCTGGTGGTGGAGGATACATCAGAGAAAAGGTGAAACCCTTTAGCTGAACAACGCACTGAAGAATGCAACAAGAAATGACAAGCTTTAAATCATAAACCACCTGTTTCCATTTACGCATGTATAGTGTACAGACATTAGGACCGAGGCATAACCAAAAGAAGCAGCCTGAAAATGAAGCGTGTTGTTTCTCGACATTTCCACCAGGGGGCGGACCCACCCCACCACCTAACAACCTTTATATTAATCGCATAGATGATTTACCTACCTATGTTGTGGTAATGATTCAATTGACCCTTTATTTAATTTATATTTGTTGAAAAACTTTTCCTCAGAATGGTCTTTTGATTATTACATTGACTTGAAACTGTTATGCGGTGTATCCTTGCCCTGTATACGTCTAGCACTTATAATAGTAAAGCATTTGCATATCAATTATATTATTATATTATTGTTCAAACCTAGTATTATACAGGAATGTTTATGTATTGACACTCCCCATTTGAAAATATTGAGCAACACCATGTGGTGTTGGAGACATTCCTGCAATAATGTGCATATACATTCTTCTAGCCGCTATATTATTGCCAGGTTTGACTTGCAATGCTCTGAACACCATCCAACTGGCATGATTATCTTTGTGATTTAAAATAATAATCACAGTTGTGGGTAGCAGTGTGTAGGTGTGAAAGTGGAAGTCTTACTTGTCAGACACTTTTTAAATTGGATCTTGCTGTGATGTTTACAGGAGCTCACATTCGATTGCTTATGACATTCAGCTGCTGTCCAGAAGGTGAAAGCCCTCAATATACAAGGTGACTTCATTTACCTGCTTCAGCCAGAGACAAACCAACAAATTAACAATTTATATTGACTCTATTCATGATCAATATAGTACTAATTGTATTTGACTGATAACAACTTGGTAGAACAATTACCTTAAAATTGTGTAACACATGTTTCTAGTGATGTTTTTCACATATTTAGAAATATATTAATATTTTTAATAATAATAATAGTTGCCTACTAATCCAAAGGATTAAAATTGAATTTTTCTATTTTTCTTTCACTATTGATGTTTATTCAGCACAAGATAGAACAAATGCATAGTGATATATCAGGGATGTTGCTGAGGCATTTACAAAGCCAGGGTCTGCTCTTTCATTCACACAAAACCATACTTGATCGTAATCATACTCACATTTATTAATAATCACCTCTGGCTTTCATATTTCATCAAGTGTCCTTGTCGTGACGATAATGCCACTCTTGCATAACTCTTAATTAACATTGCATGTATTTAAATATTGATTATTCCGACAAGATACACATATGGGACACACAGAGTATGTTTACTTGGCAATCTTTAAGAGATCAAACTAAAATTATATATATATATATATATATATTGGTTCCTTGCAGAATATGGTAAGCATGTCAGATTTTACATTTGCAGTTTTTAGAATGCCCTGAAGAAACCCACATATAAAAATATATATATTAAAGTACCACTTATTTTTCCATTGATGTTATTAATCATGCTGCTGCTTTACAATTGTTTGAGTACAGTATGTGTGTTTTTTTGCATGCTAGACGCTGGCTGTTCTAGGTCACTGCCGACACACCTGCGCTTCTTTCTCTCACTCATGTGCTATCCAGCTCTGAACTCTCCTCTCCAAGAGCTGGCTGGCTGATGCGAGTGCTTCAGCTGCTCTGCTGGTGAACCCAAGCCTCGCCAAACGAGTGCCCTCACACTCCACTGCACCGCCCCCCCCTCCCTGCTCTCCCCAACAGCACTCCTCCTACCATATGTCCTTGGTGAGGGAAAGACCCCAAGTCCCCTCGCAGAAGATGCTGAACTAACAAAATCCTCTTTTGCTCTGTCTCCCCCACTCAGTCCTTTTATCCCACACACACAGATGCAGAGGGATTTTGCATTTCTTCATGCACACACAACTAGATAGATCGATTACACACTAATGCACAGTAGAGGTTGTTGTGTAGAGCTGTGAGTGTGAATTTGCCCACCTTGATGCTTGTTGTTTTCAGAAATAACACAGCACATCTTTGAGGATGTTGAATTTGTATCAAATGTTTCCAAATCGCCCCAAAGGCATTCATCTTATTCAGCAACAAAAAATCTGTCAGCTAAAAAAGCATGTCATGCACAATCAAAGGAGTATGACTAAAAGGAATTGCAGCACAAATGAATTGAACTTGTCACCCCAAGCCATGACTTCATTCTAGTGTGCTGGTCTCATGTCATGCCACTGCATCATTTACTTGACTCAGTCTTCTAGATGGGGAAAACTTGCTGTGACTCACAACCTGGAGGGGAACAAAACCCTATGTTTGTTTTATTTTCCCGTTTGTGTATTTCCTGGTGTCTTAGATGGAGATGCACATGAATTTGTCTAGGTGTGTGAGCATGTTACTAACACTCTATACATCTGCCTTTATCTCTCTGTGTAATGGAGGGAGACCATCCCGCTTCCACACCACCTTAATATAAATCTAATGAATGCAGCTTTCAATGTCACAGCAAAGTACAATACAGCGCTCATCTCTCCTGAGAGGGGAGAGGGAGCACGGGGGATGTAATGGAGGATGGGGGAAATGGACAGAATGAGGCACTGATATAGAAGATGAGGAGAGGAAAAACAGGACGGGCGTGAGGGTTAGGTCAGGGTAAAATAGGTGTGTTGTCCTCCCTTATACATTGAGATGGAGAAAGGGAGGAGACAGATGGGGGATGGGGTGGAGCAAAGCCACAATTCCCCGGTAACCCTCCTCCTGGAAGCATGGGCCGGATGGTCTATGACAATGAGTGGGGAAAGAGGGGAAGAGGTTTATTGACTACGGGAAACACCACCAGGCTTACAGACTGAAAACAAAGGATTAAAGGGGAGACGGGGCATGAAGCACGCTTAGATCTCAAATGCCCTTTTTTCTGTGCAACATCAGGCAGGAACAGACACAGCAGTACGGTGGGAGGCATTCTTGCAAGCATAAGTAAAGCAGCGAGCAGGGTAGCAATCCAAGCACATTTGCCAGAGGAGGGAGGGTGGGAGGGAGGAAAGCAGGGAGAGAGAGCAGATCTATGAGAAGAAGAGGGGGGGGTGTTGCATGCTCGCAGAGTGTGACAGAGATAGAGCGATTCCATGAGCGAGAAAGAGACACAGAGAAAGAGAGGGAGAGCACAAAGCAGAGATGGGGACCGAGCACTGAGATAGGGGGAGTTGGTAGGACTGAGATTTGCACACAAACGTGAGTAAAGGAGAGGAAGGAGGAAGAGCGGGGAGGTTGAAGGAGAGCAGGAGGAGGAGGGAAGAGAGGGATGCAAGATGATGGAGCCCAGAAATAGTCATCACAGGACAGCTTTTCATCCCCGCTCTCTGCGGCAGACATGACTCTGGGCACTGGACTGTGCAGACATTAGCCAGGGGGACAACACAGGACAGCAGGTCTGCAGCACACTGCCTTGGTTCAGCCTCACTGGATGCAGCAAGGCAGCTGATTTATTACTGAGAGGCTGGGTGGCAGTGTGTGTGTGTGTGTATGCAGGTTTTTATGGGTCCTTGTAGCGCTCAGGGCTGTGGGAGCGACCATTCCTCCAGTCGTAAAATGACATTCAGCAGGCAGGAGCTTCGTGTGCTGGTGTGGATCTGCAGTTCTCAGTAGGAAGTGGAAGAGTGGGATTCCTAGCGGTCCTGGAGTGTGTGTGTGTTTACAGTGCTGTTCACTGAGGTGAGCCAAGGAGGATCAGCTGTATGCAGCGTGTGTGTGTGTGTGTGTTTAGGTTAGAGTAGCAAGGCTGCAGCAAAGGCAAATCTCCTACACAATGCAAGGACAAGCACAGAGCAACACTGATGGCAGGGAGTGCAGGTAGAGCACAAGGAGCGCCCTGGGGGTAGGGTGGAGGACGAAGGCAGGGACAGACAAGGAAGAGGAGAAAAGAGCAAGGGCAGAGGCCAGTGGAACAGAGAGGGTGATCATGGCTGTCATACAGTGAGCTATAGCATATGCTGTAGCGCAGAACAGAGCGGTGCGGCAGGGGGAGGACAAGCATCACCGCGCAGGGGAGGGGGAGAAGGGAAGGAAGAGACTGAGGGAAAGAGGAGGGGGAGGCAATCAGCTCAGCACCTCTCCTCCACCAGGAGGAGAAGCACAGCGGGACAGGCCCAGGAAAAGACACTCATTCTCACACACACAGTCAAAGACAAGCGGCCAGGTCAACGTGTAGAGGTAAAAAAGGAGCTGGTCCTGGGACGGGGGTCGGGTGCACCCCCGCTGGTCCAGAAGGTCCACAAGAGCGCAGGCTGGTCCTGAGAAGAAGTAGAAGTCCTTCGGAGGAAGAGGGGTTGGCTCCCCAGATCCTGTTTCTTCTGAGAGCCCTGCCACCTCTCCATCACCATGGGGGAATGGACCATTTTGGAGAGGCTGCTGGAGGCGGCTGTCCAGCAGCACTCTACCATGATCGGAAGGTAAGGCTCTGATGAGTTTTGTGTGTAAAGGTTATATTGTCTGGTTCTGTTTATACTGATAAGCTGGGTGTCTTAATGTATGTTTTCTGTATCAGTTGATGAATCCCCCTCCTCAGGCTTGTCCCAGTGCTCTCCTCTGTTCTACAGTCCCCCACAGTCATCACTGCCTCCCCCGTCCTTTCCTCCCCCATGCTCTCCTCACCGTTACCCTCCACAACCATCATTAGTTAAGAGATAAACTAATTGCATATAATCGATATCAGGCTTTACTGGGCATTATGGTTAATTCTGAGAGGTTCTTGTGCTGATACTACCTAATAGCCCAGCTATTGATGGATAACGCTTGATGCTGTTGGCCACAGACCAATAGGACAGAAGGAGGAGAGGGGAGTGGGGGGGAGGAGAGCAGAGGTGCAGAAGATGAAAGGATGATGAGCAAGCAGGTGTGGAAGGCAGAATCAAAGGGGAAGTAAATGGCTCTGAACTCTGTGTGAACTTGGGACAAAAAACACAAGTTTATTCGATTTGTTCTTAACAGCAGACAATTATTTGCATCGTATAGTAAAAAAAGTCTGATTTGATCTTTTCTCATATTTTGTGTGAGAATGGTTTGTGGCGGAGGGTTGAACAGATGAGCTTTTAGTTTGATTAGCAGTGGAGACAGGCCATGGAGACATGCTGTACAATCTGTGTGAAAAATGTGTACCACATCATCTCTGTGTGATAATTAACTGCAAAAGTGGATTTTTTCCACCCGTTAAGCACAATTCAAATGTCATGCTGGGATGCTCATTTGGTTGATAAGTGGTTTAGCCTGTGAAACCCGGATGTATAGATTTGTAATTAGAAAATGACTGATCAGAACAAAAATCATGAAATGAAAGACTATCAATTTGACTGCACTGCTGTGCTCATTAACCCGACCCAGGTAGTTCGCAACAAGGGCATGGCCTAACCTTCTCTCTGCTCCAGCGGATTGGTGTGTGTGTGTGTGTGCGTGTGGGTTTGTTGCTCTTTGTGTAGATTATTTGGCTCATGCCTTTATTGACTACATTAGCACTGTGTGCACAAAACTATTAAACTATGTCTATATAGAGACATTGTAACTGCATCAGAGCAACAGAGATGATGTGAGCCGCATTATAGCAAAACGTTTGTTGATCAGGGATCTGAAGCCATTTGTGATGGAGATTTTCCTTCCATTCAAACACTATACCAAGTAATTTCAATGGGTTCTTCTTCTGTGGTTGAAAATGCCTTATACAATGAAATCACCTGGTTTAGTCCTCATGTGGAATGAAAACCTGCGTACAGTCGAGCATGTTGACTTGATTTAAAGATGCATTAAGCAATATTTTGTGCCATTAATTATACGACTCCCTCCTGCTTATGGTGTTGGTAGTATTGCCGGTATCCTTGGGAATCAACATCTCACCAGGAAGCTACACAGCTTTCGACCCTTTTCCACTCATTGTTTTGGTTTCTGGAACGACATACAAAACTACGTTGGCTCTGACTGTGGGCAGCTGCTCCCAACACAGGCCTAAAACAAGCTAATTGTATGCTAACTGCCCAGCGCTAAAAGGCAAAGAGCCGAAGTAACTTGTGAAGAAACTAGAACATATAGCAATCCAAAAAGAGACAGATATATATATATATCTCATGCGCCGGAAGACCAAACAAGGGCTAAACGGCAGTGAATATTGGAATTACATTCAACAGGTGGCCAGAAAAAGGAGACCAAAGGGATGTTCGTGTTGCTCTGTTTCTGCTGGATTTGTAAGTAGGCAACTGTTTGCTAACATGTTAGCCATAACAACTTCATAAGCTAATTGCTAACTGTTGTGAACTTGTTCTGGAGTCTTTCCGCCCCCGAGTGGTCAAAAATTACTTAATGCAGCTTTAAAATCAATTCCTGGCAGCTAAATCAGTAAAACCCTGGGCACAGGGTAAAACGAATCCTGACAATCAATCTTTGGATGATTCAATGATGTAAGCCACCTACAATTTTTCAGAGGCACAGATGCAACTCTCAATTTGTCTGTTACCTCTCTCAAAAGTCATAAACACTCTGATGATGTAATGGCTTCCTTTTATATGCTTAATTTGAGCTATTGGTTGATCATACACGTCACTGGTTGAAGACTAAAAAGGGTTCCTTGAATCCCTAAAACATATTAACTCCAATTAGCAGTCATTTGTTTTAGATTAATCCTTTGTGCACCCGTTTTTCATACAATATGATCTTCTAGATTATTAACCTGCTGAGTCCAACTTCCAAATTCACATTACATTAAATGCTAATTTGATATTATGAACCAATAAAGTAGTTCCCTCATATAGTAATTTGTTTTTGTGATGCCCAGGACACCAGCTACAAGCTCCTTTGCTGAATACAGTGAACTGCTCTGTAAATGATACCTTTGTGTTTTGGCTTCCCTCAGACTGTGTTTGTCCTACAAGGATCGGTAGTTGACCCTAGGGCATTAGCTGTAACATTAGCTTCTTTCCAATGAGGTTCCCTCTTTCTACTCTGCTTGTCTGTTGTATGCGAGTCAAGAAGCATTGTCTATACAACCACTTTGTACAGTTTTATGTGAGTATTTCAGGCTGTAGATCCCTTAATTTGTTTTACCATTGTCAAGCAGATCTTTATGTTATCCCAGTAAGCTAACTTGTTTGCAGGAAACATCAATAGCCTACAAGTATACAAGAATTCTTATGCAGTTTGGTGGGTTAGGGTGTAGCAATGGTGTTTTCGATCTTGGCTTTTTTACCTGGAGCTAGACATTTTTAAACATAAGACATTCTTAGCAATAACACAAAAAACTACTTAAGATAAAGACTTGATTCCTAATCCTAAGCATGTGTCTGCATGGTCAGGAAATTAATGACACATTTAAATGATCAGAATGATGTTTTTGGATGTACCAGCAAGTTGGAGAATTGTTCACCACTGGCACAGTTTTGTGCTGTAAAGATGCCTCCTAGATTGTTAATGAGCAACTCCACACTAAATCATGTATGGAGCCAAAACTGTTGCACTGACCTCTATGGGTTGAAAGGTTCAAGTCTGTTGCACCACTGACCACACCCAACAACCCAGTTGGGTGTGGTCAGGTGTGGTCTGTTGCACTTGTGAACACAACCAACTGCGATGTAAAGTTGCACTGTTGTGCACTGTGAAGTCCTGCACTTCACAGGTTGTGGCCGGAGCATGCAGCAAACGCTAGATGGCATCACATGTACTACGTTTCAGCCTGTGTTTAGTTTCTTTGAAAGAGATGCATGTGTGCGCTTGCAACAATGCCGTTCCAAAGATCAGAACAGTGATGTCTCCCCATGGCTGAAAGGTCTCCCCTGCATTACAACTTTGGAACATGGTTGCATGTCAGTCATCTGTTTGAGTGACTACTCTCTTATAACATGAGGAGGTTGGAGCTCCACCATTAGACTCTGTCAGATCGCATTGTTGGATGTCTAGACTGTCTAATCCAGCTACAATTAAGCTGTTTCTTAATTGTAGGTTTTAAGCTAACCTATGCCCTGGCATAGGATAGATAATTATCCTAGGCATACGTAACAGTGTTAAAAATAGAGACGGCCGGTCTCTAAGCAGTGGCATAGGTTAGCTTAATTATGGTCTTTGAAAGAGACAAAGAAATTGAGAGTTGCTTCTGTGCTTCTGACTAACACAGGTGGCTTGCATATTATGACTCATTCAATGTGTGTGTATTGTGATTTCCATACGCCTGACTTCTAACTGGACAATGTACAGCGTGTGCATGGATAACCAATGACTGTAATAAAGAAATCATTGTCAAGGCTGCATCTCCAGCCCAAACTAAATGTGTATATCACAGTTATAACGGCCTTTGGGCCTTGAGCATTACATTACTAACACTTCAGTTTGGCCTGTAAAGTGTCTCAATGTAGATCACTAGGTGTGATAATAATAAATACAAAAAATAAGTTTCTGCTTTTGATCAACAGAGGTAGTAACCTGCTAAATGGTGAGGACACACCCAGGTTAAAGATATACTTGCATTTTATAAGAACAACTTCAAAACGATGTGTGGGTTTATTCTAGCAGAACTTGAAGTGGACCATACTCTTGCTTGCATATTTCTACACATTTTCATCCGCATAGACTGTGTGTTGACTGAGTTTCAAAGCAGCATGTTGCTTCAACTTCAGATGAATACACTTTTTATAAACATCTATTTACCTATTTGTGTTACCAAAGTGAATAAAGGACTTATTGATGTGCTGAAGATACACTGATATACGTGTGTAATATATAACACCAGCAGCCTTGATAATGTTTGCAGTTTATTTGATGTTGTTCACATTATGACTTATTTAGTACGGCAAATACATTCAACAACAGGTTTGCAACAAAGGTCTGGTGTGGCACTTTGGATAGGAGTCTTGTATAAATAGGCAAGTCTTGTTTCTTCAATTCAATTGTGCAATTCCTTTTTACATTACATTGCTTATTAGACTGGTATTTAAAAGAACATGACATAATGAATGGACTTGTTTAATCCAATGGGATAAAACCGACTGCTTGTATATTTTGTCGACCCGCCAGATACAGAACGTTTTTTCACACATCAATGCAAACAACTCAATGATAAGGTCATTCGTTTGGCTTCTAGGATAATCGAACCAGGTAGACCTGAGATGATTTTTTTCTTCTGACATACATGGTTATTGATCTTTAAGCCGGACTACCCTAAATACTGTGTGTTCAAATCTGATATGTGACATCATTCTGTGATGCTTATTTCTTATTCATGGCGATAACATGTATTATACACAACCCATTACATATTTGCTTCTTCACATGCCGTGCTCAGGTGTTCTGCAGACATCAGGTGTGCTCTTGTGTGTGTTCTACCATGAGGTGACGAGGCCTTTGGGTTTGAGTTAAACACATTGCAGGTAGGATGAAAGGAAGAAAGGAAGGAAGTGTGTTGTGCATCTTCCTCTATACTGCAATGCTGTAGTGAGGCCAGTGCCAAAGACAAGTAGAGCGCAGAAAAAAAAGACAAGAGGCAGAGATAATGTAGCACCAGAGTGATCTAAGGAAGATCAAATACTAAAGCCTGCCGGATGGAAGGATCGAAAGGACAGGATTTGAGCTGTAGAACAAAAAAGGATACAGAGGAGGGGGTAGGGAGGGGAGTAGGAGCCGGAGAAAGGAAGAGACGTTTTTCCTCTGCAGAGGTTCAATGCTGCGAATCTGTGTCAGAGCTCCTTTCGCTGACTGACCCTGCTGCTGAGGAAACGGTCTGCACTCAATATGTGTCCTCTGCATTGATGAGGGCTTCTAAAAATACACAAGACCTTAGTGTCATTTTAATTTCACATGTATCTTAATGTAACGCTCTAACTGTAGCTCTTATAACAGTTCAGCACAATGAGAAATGACATGCAATGTTCAGCATCCTTGCAAACACAGCAGTGCAGCATTGGCTGAATAAACACCACCTGTAAGGTCTGCTGTTAAAGGTGTAATGAGCTCATCCTGTATGTGGCATTACCCTCGTGTATATGGCAATAGTTTCAATCAGACATTGGGTCATATTTAATTAATTTACTCAATAATAATCTGTATCCATTTACCTGTTATTTGTTGTTCCTGCGGAGAGAGACAGATCTATTATTCACCATCTATCACTCCTCACCCTAGCATTATAAGTACTTCATAAAATCGTAATACATGTTATGAGACCCCTTGTTGCAACTGATGTCAAGTCATTCATTAATAATGTATTCAGATTTGTCCAGCCTTTTAATGTAATGGATAAAGTGGTGTACAAAGTACTTTGGTAAAAACAACAGGACTTGAATTGACAGTCTGAAAGGTTTGATACAACCAAATATATCTTCATCCTTGTGTTCCGGCTCTAAAAGCAAAATAAAGACAACAGCCTGCCTAAAAGTGGTTCACTCCTGTAGTGCCCGTGCACATATTTGTATTATCTCTCCACTTTGCCTAAATAGGTCAGGATACCCACAAGAAGGAGGTACCCTGCTTTGAGAAGGGCACCATACAAAAATAATGTAAAATGTAGGAACGCTCTGCTTTAATTCAGGGCATCATCCTGTCTGAACCAGAATATATTTCATGTTTCATTAATGATAAACCTCCTGGAGGAAATCTATTCTGTCTTTGTGTTGCAAAGCAGACAAATGTGGAAGCAATACTTCAGCTTTTGAAAGGATTAGTTATCCATCATCCTCGGGCGAGGAGCGGCACTGTCTCTCAAATTAAACCATTTCTCTGCACATCTAGTTGTCATTAGTTTATTTGTGTAGAAATCCCTGCTGTTGAATGTTATTGATTGTTCCGTTCGACAGGGGGATTTTTGCCGGTAAAGCTGAGCTCAGCTCTCATTCAGCGCAGGCTATTATTCATCTCAGCACCATATTGATGGTGTGTGTATGAGCTTTACCGGGCGTGTAATGCTTTCCTATGCATAGCTTAAATGTCCTTTATTGCAACGATTTCCCTACGTGTTGGATTCACTTAATTAGGGTTGGAAAGGATTTTCTTGCTTTTAAGCCGTTTTTTAGATACCTAGAAACTTATATACCCAGATGTACAGTACCATGTGTTTGAGAATAATTGATGGCTCTATTTGACTATTTTCTCTACAGAGATATGGTCAGATATTGTAAAGCTCTGCAGGTTTGTAGTAATGAACAATACATAATTAATGTAGTCCAATGAAGACCAATCCTTGTGTCAGAGAATCAAATGCAATGAT